AAAAATCTCTCAGGAAGTCGACAGGGCAGCTTTTATTACAGATGAGTGACAACATATTTCTGTTCTTCAGCAAACCTGGACCCAGTCTTCAGAATCGGTCCAAGATGTTTGTAAAGGTATCTCTCCAGTGGGAATTCTTCCAAAGTGCTGTCGCTCAGCTTGGTCATATAAGCACAGCTCTGCATGTGTGTGTGTTTGTGTGCTGGAATGTTTAACCCCTACCCAGCCCTAACCATAACCATAAGTAACCAAGCAAAATACAAGAGTTTTTGCATTCATAGTTTTTTCATTGCAGTCACAGATTTTTATTAAATTGAGTTTTCTGGTCCCCAAAAGAGAAAAAAATGGGTATTCATCATGTTGTGGGGACATTGTGTTCCCATAAGGTAAGGTATACCCGCTTGCTCACACACACACACACACACATACACACAATGGATTGAAAAGGATTCTTTTTACAGACAAATCACCTCATTTCTACAACTGCAAAACTGTGAGGTTTGCCTTTAACCCTAAGTCTTAAAAAAAGCATTTTCCCAAGTCTGTTAAGGTTGTCATAGTTAGCATTAGCATTTTTCCCATAGAAATGAATGATCGGTCTCCACAAAGATATGTTTACCCGACATGTGTGAGTGTGTGTGTGCGTGTGTGTGTGTGTGTGTGGGCCAGGCATACATTACATTGTGGAAACCAAATGTCCCTACAATGTAATAAAAACCTGTTATTTTGATCTTGTGGGGACCATTTTTTCAGTTCCCACAAGGGGAATTTCAATTTCATAAAAATCTGTGACTGCAATAAAAAAAACTGGGTAGGAGGATTAGGGTTATGCCCACAGAAATGAAAGGAGAGTCCTCACAAACAATACATGGTCTCTGTGTGTGTCCGTGCGGGTGCCTGTGACGTCTTCAGGGACCCACAGATGGTCCACATTTTTCCTCCCTCAAAAGTCCCTACTAGATGCAGGGAAGGAGCAAAAACATGTACTATCTGCAGGTCCCTGGATTCCCAGATTGGGAAACATTGCCTTAGAGGGCCTCCCCCTCGTGCCTGACCGACCCCTCCCTAGCAGGCCAGACCGCTATATTTGTGTACCCGTATCCCCTTCATGCCAGCCCTGCTCTGTCCCCAGGTCCACAACGGTGTGACGTCAATGTTCCCCTCACAGTTGTCATAACAAGCTTGGGTTTAGTTAACATTAACCACAGCAGGCCAGATATTCTGTGTGTAAAGCACATCACACCTCTATTGCTTAAAATGGTCTCTTGATGACTCTCCTACTAACAAGGCATTCAATTACTCTGAATCACAGGAACACATCTCCCATGTTTCCCCAAATAGCTCGTTTGTCGTAAGCAGTCCGTTGTGCGCCTGTACGCCCCCAAACGCGCAGAAGTCCCCCATGTCCAGGAAGCTTTAACCCTACTTCTCTGGATTAAAAAAATAACAGACGGTCTTCCCAGGGTTAACAACCGCAGGCTGCACCGCTTTTTATAGCAGTGACCCCCGTAGGCAGCTTGTTTTGCAAACCTGTGGTCGGCAGCTTCTGTCGCCATGGCAGCAGAGTCACCGGAACCCGCCTGGAAACGTGGTCCCCCCTGAGTCTGAGATTAAAGGCTGAAATGGAGACACTGGCCAGCGATCAGTCTAATTGAACAGCAACATGGAAGCAGCACCTATTGTCCTTGGCTTCTGTACTTTAAGACATAAGTAACAGAAAAAGCAGCCATGAACGCTGATCTGGGGCTGGTTCCTCAGATACGAAGTATGATCAGCTAGTATGAAGGCATCCCTAGGAACACATCAATCCCAAGGCCACCCAGGGAAGCAGAATCCATTGTTAGCCACGTCAAAAGGGGGCACAGAAGCCTGAGAATGGAACGGAAAATATCTGCAGCCTGGGGATGGGTGCATGAAGGGGGGGGGGGGGCAGGATTTATAAAACAAGGGGAAGTTCATTCTTGCACCAGAGACAGCGTGTTAGTTCTGTGTTCTATATATATCTCTATGACCCACCATCTGTACTGGGCCGGACCCAGAACACACTGGTCCCACAATAAGTCAGTGTTTCTTGGGTGTGGCGTGCAGCAAGCAGGACAGGACAGTCTGGGCCAGAGAAGACAGAGAGTTAGTACATTCCCAGGTCATGGAACCTGACCTGAAATGCACAGACAGGCATGTTAATGTGCCCAAGGGTGTGGTGGAACATTATAATGGCAATAAAGTGTTTTTAGTCCACAGAAATGTTTGATTAGGTCACAAATACAGCTATTTTAAACCATGCAGCTCCAACTCTGGCCCAGAGGCTGTGATTCAGATGCATTTGATGTCCTGTAATTTTTTTTACCAACCCAGGGCGTGGACCTGTGGACTAGTTTAAATTACCGTAAGACATTTCTCGGGGGGGGGGTTAACGGAACGACTAGCATATGTAGCATATCACTGAGTTTTCTAAACTCATTCCACGCTCTTTAGATCTTTAGTGCCTGCACAAAACAGAAAGCCAGAGCTGCAATGTCCTGGCTACTATGCTGTCTCCGCATTTGTTTGTGCATTTTATGGTTCCTGGTTCCTTCACATCTCCAGGGTTGGAGGTTCGAATCTGTGGTCTGTGTGGAGTCTATGTGTTATGCGAGTGTGTTTTGGCTAGTCTGATTCCACACGTTCACATGTAGTCAGGCTAACGGCTGTCACTAAACTTTCGTGTCCTGTGATGGACTGCTGTCTGTGAACTCCTGCCTGGTTCCTTATACTGGACGACGGATGGGTGCATTTAGTGCACTTTACACCCTACACTGGACTTATCTGTACAGCCGTGACCATGGAGGTGGACTGTTTTGCAAACAACCACCTGAACAACAGCCTACATCTGATTGGGTAACCTCAAACTGGGCGTGGTCACATGGGCCTCAGGCTGCACAGGGGAGGGGTCTGGTTTGCATGGGCACCACGCCTACATTTCTACTATTACAGGGCAGACTCTGATCTACCCCAGCTTTGCTCTCACCTCTCACAGGACAGCAAGATGGGATATGCGAAAACCAACAAATCCCTAGGTGTTTGTAGTTAGACATACTTATATAAATGGCCAAAAAAGCATCTGTCTTTATTCACTACGCTTATATACAGTATTTCCCTCACAGTAGATATTTTTGCTCAGAAATGTGAGCTAACTGATCTGCCTCATTTTGGGCCATTCTGCTTAGAGCAAGTGTATTTTTACTATTTCTGAACCCTTCATAACTCACCACACTGGAAGTTGCTCTCGTTCATTCTGCACAAAGCATTGTGTTTTTGTAGTCAAAGCAGCCGTCAAACTTTCATTCCAGTGTCGTATTTGGGTAAAGAATAAGGCGGTAAGCATTTTTCCCTATGATCAGGAGATGAACTTGCATTCTTTGTTCGCTGACAGGCAGCGCTGCTCTGGGGCTAATCAAAGCTGACCGCAATCGTCTGGCCAGCCGTGAAGCTTTCGTTCACACGCTGCTTTCCTTGGCGGCGCTCATGCAGGAATGGGGTGGGGTCAGTCAAGAGGAGGCGATTAACGCCAGGCCCTGGCGAGAAGAAACCAAACTGGTGTGTGACTGTAGCCCCTGCGAGCGTATGTTACACAAGCATGACGTCTTAGGCTAACTTTAGATTCTTTATTTAGCTTTCAGGTGCAAATTTTTTCTCCTCTTTCGGCTAATGGAGCAAAGAACTAATATTTTCTTTCTGCTTAGGAGTTCCATTCCGGCAGTGATGTACGGAATTGGTGCCGTCCAGCCACGAGAATAGTGCAGCCCCTGTATAAAGCCTCCCAAACTTACAGGGGACACTAAATTTGCTTCAAATGTTACTCATAACCTCAGGCTTGCTTTAATTGATACTGATGGGCTGGTTTAAATTTCTGCCACCTGGACAGAACGTTCAGGGTGATCACATCCATTCAGTATGCATTCAGTATGCTTCTTAAGGCAGTAACACTCTGGCAATAAACCAACACAGCTAGCTGCTTTTCTTTTCTTGTTTGGTATGGTCCCCCTGCCCCAGTCACCCTTGTGATACCCTGGAGAAATTTCAGTGATTGGACTTTAACTGCTTCTCAGTAACCCACTAAGACCTGGGATTATGTTATCTGTTAAATGTGATAGGAGTCCCTCACATAACTAGCATTATTAGACTATGTGGTGATGGTTTATATATGTTGGCATCTCAAAAGCAGCTACAGATTTGCTGAGTTTGTCACCTGGAGCAAACAAACAATCCAATCAGCCCATCAGATCATATCAGCCTAGCCTGCCTTTGCAGAATACAAGCAGATGTTGTTTGTAGACCATAACAAATGTTTAACAGATAAGTTGGATACAAGTATGGAAAAGGCTAGCTATTGTTATCTCTTCAATACGCGATCAATATCTCAGTGCTAATTAGGGAAAATGTATGACAATAGAGATTAATTATTGTAGATAAATATTATGTGGAAGGAAATCACGGAACCTGTGAGCTGCATATGATAGTATTGCTGGATATCTTACTTTTTCATTGTATTCAACTGTTCCACCAAGATGTTTAAGATGTTCAGTTGTTTCTGCTACATTTTTGTAGCTCACTGATCCATGACTATTCTTAGTTTTGCCAAAATATAAAGTGGATTAATTTGCCCTTCAGTGATAGGATTTTAGAATGTCTAAATGTGAAATTACTGTGTCAAATTACAACTTAGAAAGCACTCCTGCTTGGTATGTAACACATAAGGATGTAATTGATGCAGATATTTCTTTACAGTAAAACAACATAGTGATTGAATTTACTCTAGTCATTCTGGCTGAAGATGACTTTATGACCAAAACATCACTTTGTCAAATTGTCAGTAGGAATCTTGCTGTTTTCACTTCGGGTCCAGCTACTTAACAAGATCAGTGATGTAAGTCACATGGACGAAAGTGGCTCCCAGCATGAGATTTATAGTAGCTGCTGCTCACAGCCGTTACATCTGGTGCTGCTTTTTGTGTTTACAGTGTCGTACTATGGGAACAGTTTCTGCCGCATCCACGCCGTTCAAGATGTCTCCTCGTTCCAGCTGTCCCTGCAGTTTAAGACCAGCCAACGCAGTGGGCTGCTCCTACTGGCTGGAGGGAACAGGGACTACCTGGCCGTAGAGCTCAAAGAAGGCCGACTGCGGGTGAGAACAAATCTGGCAGACTCCGTCACGGTGAAAGGAAGGAAAATGTTATTCTTTTTAAGATCATGCCATTTGTCCAGGGTCACTTTCATTTATGTTGTTGCAGTTAAATCTTTTGTGTGGCTGAATTCATTGACTGAATCAGCAGGGCATTTCCTGAGATCTCAAATTGGTTTCTCTGATTTGCAATTCCAGTTTCCTCTTCATTAAAAATTGCTGCCTTCCTAGAATTGCTATGGATTAACTGTCAAAAAATAAGAGTACATCAGGTCGAATATATACTGATGGATATTGTTCAACTGTATGCTTCACATAGGCCGTCTTCTATATCCTCCAAAGACCTTTTAAATGACTTGATGGCCTGAGTGCTATGACGATGTTACTGCCTATTATGTCTCTAAGAATTACCATGTACTTGCACTGCATTACCTGATCTAGCAGCTGCCCAATTTTCGGCTTTTCAAGAATTGCAGGCAGACCCCTTCAAACGAATCCAACCAGAGACAAATTACTGACCTTGAGTGCAGGACTGAAATTTCCTTTTGTGCTGCAGCATATGTGGTGGTGCCAAAAAACTTTTCAGGTCGGGCCAAAGCATCAGGGGGTGAATCGTGATTTGTGTCCATTGTAATGCAATTTTCTTATTCATGAAGCCAGAGAAACGCTCATTAATTATACAGCAATGGCAGCATCAATGATGCAGCACTCAGAAAACAATGTAAATTGCTCCTCTGTCATTTTGCAATGAAGTTCCCGCCATTATAATTCTATAATAAAACATCTTACAGATTATGCACGAAACTGGATTAGTATCAAATATGCTGTCATTAAACCCTCCATAAATTGTGCATGGTAAACAAAAAACTCATCATTCTGATAGTGTTGGATGGAATGCTTCATGTGGCATGGAGCCAAAATGATGACAAGTGAACTGAAAGGGTTGTATAAATGAGACGGTGGATAATGATCAGATCCCTCCCATCCCGCAGGTGCGAATGGACATAGGCTTTGGCGTCATGGCGCTGTTTTCACCGGTTGGGCTACGACTGAACAACTTGGTAGAACACACGGTGAAGGTCACCCTGCAGAGATCCAGCCTGGATATGGCAATCAACAACTTATACAATGACTCTCTAAGCCTCCCCTTAATAGCTCAGGAAAGCCTTAACATTGACTATGGAGTCTTTTTGGGGGGTGCAGGTAGCATACGGGCAGTTTACTTGGATGAAACCATCCCACCTCTACGAGGCTGCATAAGCAATGTGGTCTTCAAGTCCCACAACTTTGACATCTTGAAGTCAGAGCCAACAGAGTGTGAGGAGACCAAGGAAATGTGTTCAAGTGAGTTTGATGCCGAGAGTGGAGAGGCAATCAGTTTTATAAGCCCTGATTCGTTCATATCATTTCCAACATGGACGCTGGCTGACTCCCGGATACTGGAGTTCCTCATGAAGACCACCATCGAGGATGCACTTTTAATTTTCCACTCTGGCCATCAAGATGACTTTATCGCACTTGGTTTGGTGACTGGCTATCTCAAAGGTCTTGTCGACCGTGGTAGTGGGATGATTGTGCTGAATAACACCAGAATGCGATTAGATGATGATCAGTGGCATCGTATACAGGTTGAGATTAACCAGAACAGGTTTACTATGACTGTGGACAGTCATTCTACTACAGCTTCACTAAGTGGTCCTGAGATTCTGGACCTGACTGAAAACCTGTACGTTGGGGGTGTACCAGCGAAGATGAAGGAAGTGTTTAGAAACACTGGATTGTTCCCTCGCATGGAAGAAGAGATCACGTCAGAGTCCTTTATCGGATGTTTGGGGGAAATAAAAACAAACCATAGAGAAAGAACCTTACAAGATGCCTTAGTGACCAAAGACATTCATGTTAAATGTGAAGGAGATTACGATTACTCAAGTTCTTATGAAGAGACAGTTACAACAGCTTCTCCCATTAGAATCGTACACTCTGATTTTGTCCCCAATGAAAGGCACTGTTACCCAGATGAAAACACGCCAGAGATTTTTCGTAATATTACAAAGCTCCTTGACGTTACTCCTCTGCTAGTCCCTCAGAGTGGAGAGGCTTTTCTTGACATTCGCAATCTCCAGCCTACTTTTGATTTGAATAAAGCTGGTGTCAGACAGTCTCAGATTATCTTCACTCTTCAAAATGATCCTTGGTATGGAATAGTGGATATGAACATCAACAGTAAAAGAGCCAAAAAGTTTACTCTTCTTGATGTGGTCAATAAGAAAATAAAGTATATGCATGACAGCGATGAAAAATATGGAGATTACATACAGTTGGAAGTTTTTATATACTCTTCTGTTAATCTACCAGAGTGCTTAAAAACTTCCAGAAAGTACGTCCTTCCAGTTAAATTCAAACCTGTCAGTGACATACCCCAACTAAGTGATGAAGTAATCGCCGTTGCAAAGTATGGGCGTACCCGTTTGAGTCCTAACCTAATAAAAATTATGGATTCTGATATCCAATGCGAAGAGTTATTTGTCACCATTACATCCAAGAAACCCATGGAAGAGGGTTATTTGGAAAATGCAGAGGATCCTGGGAGGAGCGTCAGTCAGTTCACATGCAGACATCTCAAAGATGGGGAAATTTACTATGTTCACAAAGGCGGAAATGTACATCAGATCGATATGCAGATATCAAATGGACATTCTACTGGTCCAGTTACTACCTTGAACTTAGAAGTAACACAACCCAGTCTGACCTTAGTCACAAATACTGGCCTCTTACTGTCTCAGGGGGCTGCTTCTCCCATTGGCATTCAGCAACTATCAGTGTCAGCCATACCGAGATATGGAGATATTCTGTATAATGTAACCCATCCCTTGAAGCTGGGGAAACTGGAAGTGTTAACAAGCCATAATGCAATGAAGCAGGTGACATCATTCCGGCAGGCTGATTTGGAGCAAGGTGTATTAAGATACATGAGTACCAAGACAGAAGATCAAGGGGAGATAGCTGTGGAACGCATTCAATTTGATGCCCACCTTGGAAAATTTATTCTGCCAAACAACACATTTTTAGTTAAGATTACGCCATCACAAATAAGGATGGCAAAAATTGTTCCACTAGAGATAAAACAGGGACATACAAGGGTAATAAAACACACAGAACTCGAAGCTGTAATGAAAGGGAAGAACACAAAGCCAGAGTCTATGAGATATTTCATTTTAAAGGCCCCGACCATGGGAACTCTACAAATTCACAACAAAGACCTGACTCAGGGGAGCAATTTCACTCAGCAAGATCTCAGAAATGGTTATTTGAATTTCAAAGTAAGGGTCCACAGAGCTGTGGATGTGGAGGATCAGTTTCAATTCCAAGTTTTTGCAGAAGAACAACATTCTCCAGTGTACACCTACCCAATAAAGATCCTGGCTGACCCAGATGTTCCAGTCTTAACTAACAAAGAGCTTAGAGTGATGGAGGGTGGGGAGGGAATTCTTAATGATGCCATTCTATGGGTTCAGGCTCAAAACTCAACTGATTTTGTGTACAGGATCACAGAAGATCCCAAGCATGGCCGTATCATCAGAGAGTCTCCTCTTGGGCAAATTAGATTTGAAGGAGCTATTAGGGTGTTTAGCAATGAGGACCTGCATTTTAATAGACTGACATACAAGCATGATGGATCTGAGAGCAGTGAGGATCAATTTACTTTTGCTGTTTTCAAACAAGCAAAGAGAGGCACAACTACTGAACCCGAGGAGAAAGACGTCTTGAAGGGCGTTGTCAAAATAATGATATTATCTGTAAATGACCATGAGCCCTATCGGGTGGTGGACAAGACCTTCAACGTGGTGCGAAACACACAGCGTTTGCTGACTACGGACGACATCCAGTTCCAAGATGATGACTCAGACTTCAAAGAATCCCAGCTTCTGTATATGCGTGCAGGAATCCTCTCTGGGCACATTGTATCAGCCGAGGACAGCTCCCAGTCCCTCTTCCGCTTCACTCAGGCTGACCTTAGGGACAAGAAGGTCCTTTTTGTGCACCATGGTGCAGACCGTGAACAGTTCCAGCTGCAAGTGTCTGATGGTCGTCACACTATCACCGCCCTGCTTCAGCTTCAGGCCGGCGAACCTTATCTCCATGTGGTGAATAACTCTATGGCTGTTATCAACCATGGTAGCACCAAGACCATCAATACAAGTCTGCTGAGTGTTGAGTCCAACATGGATATCAGAGACCCCAGCGAGATTGTATATGAGATAACATCACCCCCAGGTGATGGAAGCGTTATCGTCAGTGGAATAGAAGCTTCTGTCTTCACTCAGGAAGACCTGAGAAAAGGTGTTGTGTCATACCAGCATGATGAACAGAGCTTGAGGTCCAAGGACTCTTTTGCTTTTCGTGTCAAGTCTAAAGGCTTGTCTGAGAATGGTACATTCAGGATAAAAATATTTAAGCAGGGTTACTTGTCAGAGCCTAAGGTTATAACTAACGAGATAATCTTATGTTACATGGGGGAGCACACTAAAATAAGCCAAGATCATCTAAAGGTATGTATACACTCGTAATCCTTTTCATTCTTTTTCTGGGTGAAATTCAGATGGAAATGTGTTCTGTTCCTTAGCTATTATTGAACTGCATTCAGAATATATTTTAGAGATTTTAGGCAATATAGCAAACTTATAATTACTAAGGTAACCTTCAGATAGACCACAAGCTCACTACAACCCTACAATGGATAATTGGTTATGAAAAATGGATTATTAGCTTTCAAAGATTCAATATAATAATAATAATAATGGTGAGCCCATTACCCTCTACTGGAAAAGTGATTATGGAAGATAGATGAAATGAGAAGTGATATTTGCAATTCTAATTAATATTGTTTTAAAAAAAATTGAATATTACCAGTGAACAATATATATTGCCATAATATAGGAGCTTCCATTTAAGAGCTTGCACCAACAAATATGTATAGTACTGACCCTTATCAGAACGGCCTTACATAAAATCCACACTTCAGTTGTTTGCAATTCCTTTCAGGTGGAGCAGGCAGACATCTTACCCTCAGAGATGGTGTTCACCATCAAGGAGCCTCCACAGCTTGGTCACGTGGTCATGCCGATACAAAACCCAGAGAGCACAGTGTCGCCCAACATGGACTACATTCACTCCTTCTCTCAGGAAGACCTGAACCAAAACAGGGTCTACTATATCTCCTCGCTGGAGCTGGGCCGAGACAGTTTCAGTGTGGATGTCAGCAATGGCTTCACCACCTTGGACTCCCTGAGGGTTTACGTGGATATCGTCCCACACGAAATTCCAGTGCAGGTGGTGGACCTCGTAGTCAAGGAAGGAGGCAGCACATCTCTAAATGACGCTTTAAATATCTCACATCCCTTGTATAGCTCCTACCACGTTGACTTCATTGTAGAACAGAACCCACGACACGGAAACATCCAGTTGTCTGACAACTTTGATGATTTGAGTGCCTTCACCTGGGATGAGGTGAGTCATTATAAAAGTTATTATAAAATGAAATTTGTTTTGGGGTATTAAAATAGTATTGACTACTTGTTTAGTCATAATTAATAGAGAAATAGAACATGGCACAGTCAACGGTACCTAAAACTTTGTAGGGACACTCCTACCCTTCAGTATTTTGGCAGTTGGAGGTGGTGAATTATACAAATATTTGTCTAAAGTGCTCTTCTTTGTCACTGGATATCCAGTAAATCACATAGAAAAAGATCAGGATATATATGTTCACCATATCCTTTGTGAATAGAGCAGCGTTCCCTAGTTCTGGTACTGGAAGGCCAGTCTGCAACAAAGTTTGCCGATTTCTCAGCTCAGACACACCTATTAAACCTGGTCATTAGCTGACTAGGATGTGCTTGAGCAGGGAAATCTGCAAACTGTGTTACAGATTGGTACTCCAGGATTGAAATTAGGGAGCCCTGGAACAGAGTGACATTTAAATTAGTAACCTTTGTGCAACAGCAAATAGCTACCTTGGGGAGAGGATAAGGCCATATTAAACAACTGTAAATAAATGTTTTGTACTTAGTGTATTTAAAAAGTACAGAAGCTAACACACCATTGGCATCTTCATTGCTTCTTTCAAAACTTAATGACAGTTCAGACACTCCTAGACATGCAAATAAGTATCTTAATAACAGATTTTTAAGGTAATGATCACAAAATATCAAATTATTTTGACTTGTATTTCATCTGATCCATTATGAATAGTTTAAAAAGTTTGGGAGTTTCCTCTTGTCTTCCTAGACATCGGTCTTACTTGCAGTAGGAAACAATTACTATCACTCAGGCGATGTAGCAATTAGCGCATGGAGTCCTCTGGAAAAATATTGTTTGTGGCAGCACACTCTGTGACGAAGTCACCAAGAAGCTTTACGCATTTACGCATGGAAAGAGAAAGAAATAAAATAAGGGGTTGTTGTTGGAAAATCTCCCTTCGTCCAGGACATGCCATTCGGCATAGTGAGGTCGGTTAGTCACTCCACTGAAGACCGGCATAAGTACCCCTCTACATTCACCCTGTTAGTCTGCTTTTGGAAAAGGGGTGGAAAAACTGACTCTGAACCCAGAGAGCCAGAGCCAAAATAAATGGGCCCATTACGTTGCCATGATGGTGAGGGTGTGCTAAGCCCTCAAACGCTTCCACAACACCTGTCACATAGACTCCATTGTTGAGTCTCAAATTTGTCGAATATTCATAAAATAGCCATGACTTAGCTCTGATTATCAGTTTTTAAGAAAACCAGTTGAACTTTGTTATCATTTTGTATTCACACTTACATTACAAATCTCAGGTTGCTTTGTATGAATGGGTTGGCTTCGCCCACTATCATCATCATCATCATCATCATTATTATTATTATTATTATTATTATTATTATTATTATTATTATTATTATACGTGTATGTGTGTGGGTGTAGGTTACGTATGCATTACATCGTGGGGACTAAATGTTAGTTTGACGTTGTGGAGACACATTTTGTTTGCATTTTGTTTGGTTAGTTATGGTTAAGGTCTGAGCTTAACCTAGAGGTTGTTATTATTGGGGCTAGGGTTATGCACAGGGAAATGAATGGAGAATCCCTGTACAGATATGCATATATGGACTGTGTGTGTGTGTGTGTGTGTGTGTGTGTGCATGTGTGTGTGTGGATTAGGTTTATATTACATTGCGGGGACCAAATGTCCCCAACGATGTGATAAAAACCTTATTACGTTATTTTTAACGTCGTGGGGACCATTTTTCAGGGCCCCACAAAGATCTGTGAATGCAATAAAAAACTAAAAATGGCAAAAGTCTTTGGTTACTTATGCTTAAGGTTAGGGGTTAAGGTCATCATATTGGGATTAGAGTTTTCCCCAAAGAAATGAATGGAGAGTCCCCACAAAGATATAATTACAAACCTGTGTGTATGTGCATGTGTGTGCGTGTGTGTGTGTGTGTGTGTGTGTGGACCTTAAGGTTGTCATTATTGGGATTAGGGTTATGCCCACAGAAATGAATGGACGGTCCCCACAAAGATGTGTGTGTGTGTCTGTGTGTGTGTGTGTAAAAGGTTCCAGTTGCTTAAAGGTCCATGCCTTGGTCTTTCTTTGCTGGTTTGGATGGCCCTGTAGCTTAAGGTGAATAACCTTGAATGAGTTGCAGGCACCGGAGGCTGAACGTTCCGCCAGGGTTTGGGCAGCATTTGAATGATGTTTTTGTGTCCGCATCAGGCGGGATGGAGAAAGCTTAGTTAAGACTCCAGCTGTTCGTTATTACAGAGGGTTTTATTGCGACCTCCCTTCCTATGGAGCACCGCAGAACAAAATGTACAGCTAAAGGCTGTCCTTTCGAACAGGGCTATCACTGTAAAGTCACTCTTTCAACATGCTTACGTTGTTGGTGGTGCCCGCGTGATTATTATTCACCCAATCTTTCGCTGACCTTCCCCTAGGTGAGGAATGGCCAAGTCTACTACGTACACGACGGCAGCGAGACCACCAGCGACAGATTCACCCTGCTGGCATACATATCCGAGATCAGCAGGCAGAGTCAGCCGATCGACGTAAATGTCACAATCTCTCCTGTCAACGATGAACCACCCAGATTGATTCGCAACACAGGCCTGGAGGTCAGTATGGTGCTATTCTGCATTGCCTGTTCCCCACCTCCAACCACAGCATGGGCCTTAGGGCTCCAAAGCTCGCTGGAGCTTGGATTTGCCGAGCTGGGGATGCGGGGTGGTGGGGAGAGTTTCCCACAATCATCTGGAAACCAAGAGTATGATTCAGTGCTTCGACTCCATCTGTGGTTGCACGTATCCCCGGCAACATATATTTTTGGACACTACATGTCCATGGCTGCAAATCCACTTCTGGGGCAGCTGGAGAACTGGCCAATCAGAAGACGCTCCTAGATCCCACAAATTGTGACATAATGATACGTCTCTCATAAATGGTGGACTGGCCCGTTTCGCGGAGGGTCTTTCGATCTGGGGAACACTCTGCTTTTGCACAGGAGTTTTGTGGCCCCCGATTGGGCAGGACACACAGCACAACGGTAACTCCTACTGGGCATACCCCTCCCCCTCCCTCAGTTCCTGCCACAGCTGGCCACAGCTGGTTTCAATTAGCCCTCCTTTTACTGAATGGGTCCTTTATTCCCTGACTTCCTATCGTCTGCACCGCCGCTTGCAACACCACCAACAGCCGTAACCAAAATCCCCCTCAGCTTAGGCTGCAGGGATTCCCTTTTGGGACAAAAATAGCACCCTTTGTAGGTTAGGTAACCTGCTTCTTGAAATTGAGCACATATTGTATTCATTGGAAATGTAACATTAAAACACTGGCAGTGTAATTTATGACTTCGCTTTCTTAAAATGGTTTGCGTCCTTCTCATTCTGCAGTCACCCTTGAGATAATGTGTCTACCCCTTTCTTGATGTCATTGGCACAATGGTCACTGTCACTGGAAAATTAGAATGTTCAATTGATTTCAACTGATTTTTTTTTCCGCTATTCACAAAGTCAGCAATTAAGGGGTCACCCTGCATGCAGATTTTTTTATTTGTTTAACATAAATCTCATCCACAGGTAATGGCAAAGTCAAATTAAGTGGGGCATTATTATATTGTCATCCATACAGAGGTGTACAGTGAATCATATGCACACAGACTTATGTACAAAAGCAAGATAATTCATTCAGCTGCTGCCTGCCAAATTGGAGACATTATTATGATTGATACAGAATAGAGCCCATGAACATGGGAAAAGCATCTGGCATCAATTTTAAAAATAATTAAATACAGAGATGGATAAATAAATAATCATTATAAATTCAAAGCTCATGTCACCATCTACTGGTGTAACTCCGTAACATCTAGGTGCTGTTGTCAAAATGGCCAATAGAGGGCAGCAGAACATCAAACTCGCACGAAAATATAAAATAACAAAGCACATGGAAAACACATCGGAGTAATGACATTACGGCCATTTATGTTTGCAACCCGAGTTTTTAAGGCCTTCAGTGTTGAACTAAGGATTAAGAAAGTTAACATCAAATAATAATAAAGCCAGCTCACTTTGTCTGAGGCTTGGTGCTATATTTGGTGATAGCTTCCTTCTGGTTTTATTTTACTTGCAGGAGAGTCAATCAGACAGTTTCTCGTGGGCCAGTAACAGATAAAATCAATACAGTGCTGTTCACAAGCCCTTCTCTGTTGAGTTTTGCTATTTCAGAATCTCTTTCAGGAGATATGCTCCATTTCTGTCCATTAATGTCCCCTTCAGCACCAAGGTCATTAGAAGGCCATTAAACTAAAGCCCAGTGAGAGAAATCTTTCAGTGCAATGTGATCCATCTTTAGATAATGGGTCAAGCCTCTATGCATTAAGGAACCCAGAACCATCTATGAGGCAATTGTACCTGATACTGCTGAAAAGGAAAGTTGTTGAAACGCTTGCTCTCCTTGTGGTTTTCATTTAATTGCCTGGCAATTTGCAGCTGCTTCCAGGGGAAGAAGCAGAAATCACAGCCAACATGTTGTACTCTGAAGATAAGGACACCCCCCCGGAGGAGCTGGTCTATTCCATTGAAGGTTCCTCCAGTGGGAGAGTGGCCCTGAAGGCCTCGCTGGAGGAGGACATCCGCAACTTCACGCAGGCCCAAATTAATAACAGCGAGGTGGTCTTTATCCACACAGGTAAGCCTGGGATTTTAAACAGGTAAATCTGAACTCTTTAAAAACTAAGGGTGACTCCACAAACTGACCTGAAGACCTCCTCTGGTTGATCACAAACTGATTGATTTTCTCTAATCATTTTCTTTGCATTTAGTGAACATTCTGTCATTCACAGGGATACTGAAATTAAACAGATATTAAAAATAAGCTCCCCCTTCATAGCTCTCATGTCAGTTTCCATTGGCTGACCCCCCAGCTTTGTCTGGGGCAAACCGGCATCCTCTTTAATGTGAGCTGACTCAAAATTGCACAAAACCATTAGTGATCGCCAGATGAAGCTTCATGAACCATTTGCAGTATTTTCTGACCCCACTAGATGGTGCCGTCTGTTCGTGAAAGGGCTCAAAGCATGCTCAAAAGCAAACCAACAGCACCATCTAGTGGGGTCAAAAATACAGCAAATGGTTCATGAAGCTTCATTTGGCCATCATTAATAAACAAACAGGCCTCAGCTCGACAGAAAGGCAATGTAATTTCATCCAGATTCGTAAAGCACATTATATGTTATTTCTGTTCTGAGAGGTACAACTATGTCTCTCAGGGGTTCCCAACCAGTCGATCACCAAGATGATTCTAGTCAGTCGCAAACCAACTTAAAATCCCCTCAAATGGCAAAATATATCAGGAGCCCCCCACCCCCGCTAGCTGGTTGGACACCATTGATATGTCATATCTATACTAATATATAGTTTTGCTAGTTCCTGTTTAATGTTGACTGTTGTGATGCACAAATGAACTTCAAGTATGTTTTATGTTTAAAGTTTAATTTAAATCAACGTATTACTTGAATGACACATTTATTTTGAGTACCTGTACAGCAGACAGGAAGTGGGTCAGAGTCAGCGAGCCGCAAAAGCCGGAAGCTGGACGTGATGTCACACGTGATGTCATACGTGTAGTGTCACACTATGTGTCTTCTCAGGGTCCCAGTCGGGATGGTTTGGTTTCACGGTGACCGACCTAGAGCACACTTCACCCCTGTACCATTTCATTGTGAAGACCAGGCAGCTCACCATCTCCATGGAAACAGAGGGGGAGCTCTTGGTCTATCCAGGTACCCCTATTTGCTCTTGGCTTTGCTGTGCTCTCAGCTGTGCCGAAATTTACCAGTCACCAAACGTGAACACCTCACGCGGGCATATGCATCCATATGGGTAAAATTTGACTAAGCTACTGTAACAAGTCCAGCCATCCATCCATCCATCCATCAACACCACTGATGCATTCATTCCAGGAAGCACTGAGCACAGGGCGAGAGATTTCAGGGGACTGGATGTCATTCCATTGCAGGACACACGTATACACCCACTCAATAAGACATTATGGATAAATGTCATATCTTTGGACTGCTAGATGAAAGTTAGGAAAACATAAAGAAAACATATAAGCTCCACAAACACAGAGCCACAGAGCTTTGAAACCTGCTAGCCAACGAGGCCACAGTGCTCCCCACCGAGTGCGAAGCAGAAAGACTTACAGATAATTTATTCATCTGTGCTTTATTTTACACCTCACCAGACAGACATGGCCAACTCACAATATGTAGATCACAGATATGGAGAACAACAGTCTAGCATTAGATGCAAGTTAATCACTGCCACAGAGGAACTAGTTCTGTGATTTGGCTAGTGGTTACAGAGCATGTGTATCCAGCACACAATGGAAGAATACCGATCTGTATCCTCTATAGTACAAAACATAACAACCATTTTTATTTATTTTAAGGAACAAGACAGCCAATCACGAACGACATCCTGAAAGCCGTAACCAATGAGGACGGAGACGAGATCACCTACACTGTTATAGGAGGGCCTAACCTGGGGAGGCTTATCTCCAGTAACGACAGAAACCAGTTTGAGGAGATCTCCAGTTTCACCCAGTCCGAGGTGAAGACATACGTAGACAATATGTTCATTATTATACTCAAAACAGCACTCAAAGGAACCAACAGCTGGAAAAGAAAAGCGTAAAATTTTACTGTAAAAGTTGGTTGTTTCATATTAATTTGAGTTCACAAAATACTTCATCTATAAAGTCTTCATCATGGGTGATTTCAGTGGGGGGAGGTAATAGGGACACGACAGCCCTGCGTCATGCCAGGCCCTTGTAGAAGAAGCAGAGCAATGGAGCATTAATCATTTGAAGGACGTGAGGGAGCACATCTGAATTATTACCGTGCTCTAGAAAAAACCTGCACATAACTGCACTTCTGACATCACACTGCACAGTGACAGCCTTCACCTAGCCTAATTAGCCTAATTTCCCTGCTAATTCCCACTCTGACACGTGCTGTTCGGTGAACTCTTTCGAAATTATACTCCGGCACGAGAAAGGTGGCACCACCTGCCCTTAGCACGACATCACAAGCAGGCGACCCTCACGCACCTTGATTAGCTGCTAATTAGGGTGACAGCCGCGTGTAATTCAAAGCCCCCGCATCTCCATTTTCTCCAGTGGAGAAGATCTGCTGGAGCTCGGGTGAGGAATCAAGTTATCCGCTGTTCATCAGCAAGAAACGTTATTCCCGCACCGCTCCTCTGTGCTGAGCCAGCCCGCTCGTGTTATACTGCTTCCGGCCAGCAGGGGGCGCCATTAGAGCACAGCGTAAATTTTAATAATCCATATAAAATCCCAACAAAGGCTTCATCGTAGACTTCATTATTTTTATGAACCCTTTTTAACCTTTATCATTTAAGTTTGGTAGCAGTTTTCCGGGCTAGTGTCAGAAGTGGAAGGGGTTTAGCTGTCTTTGGGCGGGTGACCTGGGTGTGATTTTGGTTACCTGTATGTCCTTCTCTCAAATATTACAAATTCATATCCTGTGTTTTGTGTGGAACAATAACCTTAAGTACATTTTAGAAACCGACAGTGCTCACATTTTTTTTGGTTTCATAATAAAAATCATCATTACTTTATTCATCTATAAATATACAAAAATATGTATCACATTAGAAACAACCAGTAGTTTTAAGTAAAACATTCATTTCAAGTAGTAATAAATTGAAACCCACGATACATTTCAAAAAGAGCTGTTCTGAGTTAAAAAGTTCACTGACAAGCAGTCTGACTTGGGTGCTTTTTAATTAGCAACACATTAGTAAAACACCAAACACTCGTCTTTAGCATCCCTTTGGGAGCTGTTGACAAAAATTTCAATTAATAGGAAAATGGTAAAAACAGAACTGAATGAGTCAGTCAAAAATAGTGTGACACTTAAAGACTCTAAAAAGAAAATGTCCGTGTAGAATATATGTGCAGATGTAAAACATTGCTTGTCAACGGACTTTTGTTATGAAACCAATACATTTTCAACATTTTTACAGAACTATGTAAGTGTCCTAAGACTTTGCGTGAACCTGTATATCTAATCTTGTATTTGCACGCACCTGAACAGCTTTATTTTTTATTTTCCTGCTTGATATTGTGTGTGACGTTCTACTCTCCCACTCTGACTCCTCTCTTTGACTCGTCCCTGCTGAGACAGCTGGAGTCTGGCTCTGTCTTCTATGAGCATCAGATGCCCAGCCAGCCCTTCTGGGAGGTGCAGGATGCCATTCGTCTCCTACTGTCTTCACACCCAGCCCCAGACCTGGAACACACCTTCTTTGTCACGGTGTCCTACGACATGGAGACGCACGGCAATGCCTCACAGCTCTGGAGGAACACAGGTATAGGGAATCTGCTATCGCTCTGCCCCCAGGTTCCCGTAATTGTCTCCTGCTCTGCTGCAGACTGTTCCGACACCCCTATCTAACTTTCTCTTCCATCCTGCCCAACTTCTTCTTTCTAACTGGCTGGCTTTCCTCTTCTGCTTATCCAACTTCCTTGCTCTGTTTCAGAGTTCCTTCTAATATAAGCAATTGCATAATTTTGGAAATCCCACAATTATTTACCCATTTCACTTTAACATTAAATAAATTTGGAAATAACTCACCCCTTTGGGGTATATATATAGAAAATAACCCAAACTATGCTTTTAAAACCTGCGCGCTTTATGTCATCCATGTTTTTTGAAAATCACGCATGTAGGTTGGTAAACACAAAATGAGCACAGGACTCTTGAAGAAAATCGACATTAATTAAGCTGTTTCAGCTGGTAAGGGCTGAACTTTTTTAAGTGATTATGATGAGTTTCTTTTTTATGCAAAGTTCTGTTTTAAGAAATAATTGGACATCAAATAGTGTTGTATGTTCCCAGTCATACTGGGCCTGCATTTACTCATCACTGTTTCCTATTTTCTGTTTAAAATTGAGTACAATCCTGCCAGGAAGTACAGCTGCTTATAAACATTGCATTCAGGAGCCTAGTTAATATTTTGTCTATTCACCTTGTCTGGAACATGTGTTTTAAATTCAAAGCAATTGCTTTATTTTTCCTTTTCGCACAAATAAATTCAGTATATCTGGTATGCATTATCCTTCTAAATAATGTTCAGTATCTGCAAAAGAGAAAGTGCTTTGGTAAATCATACAGGCTGGGGATATCTTTAAAAAAATTATCTTTCCGTATTAATTTGCTATTGCTATTTGTCAGTTTTGTTATTTATAATAATATTCACAACCTTTTTTCAGGGGTTGGACAAAAGAATGAAATCAAGTGACAATATATTAATATCAATGACTCTATATGGCGTAGGATCAACCTTTGCCTTTAGAACAAATTTAGTCCTTCGTTCATACATGTGTGGGATATTGGGCCATTGAGTGGGGAGTCTATGTATGGCTCCCACTTCACCCTGGTGAACATTAAACCTCCCATATTTGCTTTAGCAGTTTATAGGGGTCATTGTCATCTTTGAAAATGGGAACATTGTGCATCATGTTTGCACAGCAGGGAGGAATTGGTCTTTTAAAATGACCTCATATTCCTCAGCCATTATACAATCAGGCGGAGCAATCATTGGGTGCAATGACATGGCCACCTATACCAACAGATACTGAAGGCATCCACACATAAAGGAGTCCAGATGTTGGAAAATGGGCTCACACCATTTTATGTCCTTATGTCTGGTTAACCTTTTTTATTGGTTTTCAATACAGGGGGTTTCTGAATGGCAGCTCTGCCGTAAATTCCAGCTCTGAGAAGCTGATTGTCTGATCTCAGGTGCCACATATGGATAGTTGGCATTCGGCCTAATCTGACTCACATTCGTAGTTGAATTTGTGATTGCAATTTAATTCAAAGCTGAAGTTCTTTTTCATGTGTTGTTTCCATTATTTTGTCCACCCCTTTTAGAGTGTGGCTAACATTTTTTCTAAATCATGACAGATGTGTGTCTGTATGTCATACTGAGAGTAAACGTGCGTTCTGTGTTCTGTCCCAGGTCTCAGGATCCTACAAGGTCACAAAGATGTCATTGACACTTCCAAGTTAGATGCCTCCAATCTGCTGGCCAGTGCCCCAGAGTCTCGGAGGAACTCTTTGGATGTTGTGTTTGAGGTGAAAGAGTTCCCCATCCATGGGACACTCATCTTGAGTGGTCAGGACCTGACACGAGAGGCCCCGTACTTTTTACAGGAAGATCTGGAAAGCAGGGAGCTGGAGTACTTTCAGCAGGAGGCCGAGGCCTCCTCCGACAGCTTCTCCTTCCGCGTACGGCTCAACCCCCATGGGCGAGGTTTGCAGGCCCAGACAGAGTCGTTCATAGAGGAGGCGTTCAACATTTCCATCAAACAACAGAAACTTACCCCACCAAAACTGGACCTGATGCTGGAGGTTGTGCAGGGCTCTTTTGCAGTCCTCACTGACAAATACCTCAGTATCACTGATGAAGAGAAGTCACCCGAGGAGATTGTCTTCACTGTTACCAAAGGCCCCAGCAATGGCCACCTAATGAACGCAGACACCAGAAAAGATATCAAAGTCTTCACCCAAAAGGACATCAATGAAAGGAGGGTGATATTTGTTAGCGATGGCACTCTGGCCAATGGATTTATGGAGTTCACAGCTTTCGATGGCAGGTACAAAATAGAGGGGCTTTCCCTACACATTGGCATCCTGGCACGGACCCTGAAGCTCGCCAAAGCTGAGGAGGTCCAGGTGAAGCAGGGGGATGATGAAACTCCGATCACAGAATCCATTTTGAAAGCAAGCACAGGTGGGCCGAACGAGGAGGACGTTATTTACAAGATCACAAACAATCCCAAATACGCTGCTGTAATGGTGGACCGGCAGCCTACCTCAGCTTTCACACAAAAGCAGATCAAAGAAGGGCGGGTGAGCGTCCGCTTTGTCAAATCCACATCCCCAAGGGACAGTGTGGCACTCGTAGCCAGGAGCAAAGCGGCTAATGTCTCCACTGTTCTAAATATAACCGCAAAGCCTTTAGTGAAACTCCCCGACAACCCAGTCCTGCCACGAGGCAAAACCATCTTAGTTAACCCCAGCATTCTAGATGCCTCAGCACTGGCAAACAAAACCAAGAATATTCCAAATTTCAAGATTATCCAGCAGCCACACGGAGCCAGGTTTGTTTGGATCGATGGGGAACAAAGACAGGAAATAAACAACTTCTCCCAGAAAGATTTGGAGGAGGGACACGTGGGCCTGGAGATCCTGAATGACACTAGAGCAGGAGACCAGGTTCGCGGCAACCAGGCCCGGTTTCTCCTCGCAGCACACGGTGTGCCACCTGCAGAAGGAGCAATGGCCTTCAGGACAGCTCCCTACAATGCTTCAGCGGCCTACAAAGCCATCCTTCTCAAAGACACTGCCAAAAAGGACACTACTGGGACTGTTCCATCGAGTCCAGAGCAGAGAGGAGATGGGGTGTCAGCAAGGAACAATCTTTGGGCCATCCTCATTCCCATTCTGATTGTCCTTCTGCTTCTCGTTCTCGCAGCCATGCTGGCCTACTACCTGGTGAGGCGGAACAAGACCGGCAAGCACAATGTCCAGACGGTCTCTTCCAAGCCCAAAAACGGCGAGGCTAACCCAGAAACGTTCCGAAAAACAGACCCAGCCAACAACATTCCCATGTCCAATGTGGACTCCAAAGAGCCTGACCCAGAACTATTACAGCACTGTCGGACAACAAACCCAGCTCTGAAAAAGAATCAGTATTGGGTATGAGAATTTCCAACACGTCACACAGAGAAACACTGAATCTCTGCCATTTTCATACCTTTTAAAGCATCTTGGAATCATTCCTTACAGTGTTACAGATGTCTGACTATATCAATCTATCGTGTAACTATGCCAAGAAGATCTTTTATAATAATATTTGGTGCTTCTCCAGGCCTGTCTTGTGCACCAGTCCTCAGGTTATAAATCATTGTTGATGTATTAGTCTAAAAAAGTCATTTTTTAAAATACAAAAAAGGCGGCCACAGTTTGCAAACATGTGTTACACGATTACTAGACCTCTCCAAGATTTAATATAGACAGAAATGTAACATGTTTATAAAAGAAAATAATAATGCAGCAAAGTGGAACATTCTGAAAGCTTTTTAGATTTTGTTTTTAACTGTCAGCTATACCCAAGTTCAACAAACAAATGGAGTATTTTTGTGTGCTAAGAATTTACTATTTTTAATGGGGAAAGGGCTAGCGTGTACATAGTAAATGACTTTGCATTTACTCCTCAAAATATGTATGCTCTGAGGAAAAAAAACTGACAAACTACACCTTTGAGTAGTTTTTGTTTATTTTTCTATAAATGTATTTTTTATTTGCTTTTGGGGGTCTTGGTTGTGGGGCCCACCGACTATACGCTACAGGTGAGTCCTGGACACCTGAAACACATCGTAGATTCACTGGACAGGCTGACGGCACTGAAATCCTCTCAGCAGAGTGTGTCTGTGTGATCGCAGGCAGGAAATGACTCAGAGGCAACTGTGGTTGGATCCTACCAAGTCACTGGCTATGAGTGATGTCATTCATAGCCATAATCCCTGTAATCAAGTTGCCACAAGGGTCTTACTAAGCTCTTGCTTTCTCTGTTTTTTCAAATATTTCGAGATGGTTGCTGTAGTAGTGTGAATTCAGGTCATGCCATCTCAGGCAAAGGACTTGGCGTTCTGTGACATGTTTTAACAATTTGCCAACACAGAGCTCTGTCAAGGTTTCTTTGCCATCTTTATTTAGTCTTTTGTGCACTAAGAAATAAGCAATGAGAAAGACGGGAAAATGAAGGAGGAACAGAGCTTATGTGTTTAAGAATATAATACTGAGTATTAATCTTTCATAAATTTTAGTGGATTTTCTGTCATTCTAAGGTAAGACATTTTTGCTGTAGAGTTAATGAGTGTATTGTCCTTAGTGAAGTTTTTGAGTATGAAATCATTCTGTTATTAGATTCTTTGTTAAGTGTTTTGGAGCAAAATGTGGGGAAAAGTGATGTATAAGTTTTAATTGAATTGAATTGAATTGAATTGAATTGAATTGAATTGAATTGAAAAAAAGATTTAGCTGGCAAATATTAGAGAGTCATTACAGTTGGGTAGCTCTACGCAGTGCTGAACATGCTGGCCACAGAATGGTAGTAGGAATTTCTCAGTTTTATCATGGCAGAGATCTGCTGCAGACCTGAGTTTTGAAAGATCAGTGTCACTCCAATCTCCACATTACTGTTCAAGGTTGTAATTTGTACGAGGGATCAGGGAGTCCTGACTTTTGGCTGAAGGAAATCGTCATCTTAAAAGATATTAACCTGTTTCGGGTGTGTGGAATTAAGTACCATATTCTTAAGTGACTGATGGAGAAAGGAGAAGGGCTGTTGTATAAAAGCGATAAGCCTCCACTGACCTGTCAATGGTTTTCAGTCCTTCACGTTAACAGTGTGCTTTGGTGTAGAAAACGTCGCTGGGTTATATTGGCTGTCTTTGATAGTTAAGTCATTTTGGCTATGCTCTACTGTGAGGAATCTGTGTTTGCTTTTTTTGTGGTTACTTCAATGCCGTACTATTTAAAATATTTAAAAAGAAAGTATTCCTGTATGTTTCTGTAATAAATAATTGCATCAGTTATGGCTAGAAAGGTGCATAGTTTGTATTTGTGTAGTTTATTTTACAGATCAAGAAATACATTTAAATAGACTTTAATTAATAATGCAAATTCTGGTTCATTCTCATCAATGAAAAAGGAAAGCTCATAATATGGATAACATGAGGGTAGTGAAGATTTCTTTCAGCATCAGTTCATAAAACTGTTTTTTTGTAAAATATTTTTACAAGTAAGTCTCTCAAGTCAATATTTGAAAAAACTATTTTTTTAATGATTCAACAACGCCTTAGAAAAATAGTAGTTTTCATTGTAAATAGTGTTGAATGAAAGTCCAAATGACAAATACAATTACATGCATGTAAAATTCTCATAATGATGGATGACAACTAATGAGGGAAACAGGTCATGACCCAGCTGGTGGAGAAAAGGACTGAGAGGACCAACAGTTGGCAGTGTCAGTGAGCTATTTTTCCTGACTAGGTCTAGTTTATGAATGATTGTCTGAGAGTCAGCCAGCCTCAAGTAGGAGGTGGATGTGTAGTTCAATCATTTAGGATGCCATGGTCAGAACCTTGTTGGTTCGAATCCCATGGTCAGCAGTAAAATTTTGACGTTGGGCCCTTGGGCAAAACCCTTAGCTCTAATTGCTCCAGGGACTGTGTGACCCTGCTTTCTCAATTGTATATCGCTTTGTATAAAGGCTAAATTAATAAAAGATGAGAAAAAGGGGATTAAATCGATTCACAGATAACCAGGTCAAATTCAGAAGAGCCCAGGTGAATCTAATGAGGTTTCAGTGAGACTGAAGATACATGCAACTCCAGAATAAGGCATAGAAAGGCTAAGGGGATTGTATCATGCAATGACTCCGCAAGCATTTATACGTTACAGTTATTACTACAGAAGTGAAAATAGGGAGTTTGTGTGAATCCCGGGCATAAGTACCTAGGCTACTCTATAAATCAGGAGTTATGTGTAACAATACTCTGTTACCTTCTGTGGCCTCAGTCATTGCTATTATGTGATAGCCAGCATCTAGTGCTAAAAATTATAGAGGTATATCTTCAAAATTTACGCATGCAAGCCTGCTTTAGACTTTCAAGGCAATAAAGAGTATTTATATACTATATTTGACAGTATAGGAAGAAGAATACAGGCCTGAAATTCATACATTTTAGTACTAGTAAGATCCCTTGCAGTTGAATCCTGTACCAGTTGAAGACATTCAGGGAAGCGTTTCACGGGCAGATAACAGAGCATTGCAATAACATAGTGTCAAGGTAATTAATACATACACCATTCACTTTCTGCATCATTTTAGGTTTCTGATATTCATTTCATTCTGTAGATGAAAGAGTAACAGTCAGTGTTTCCTCTTCAGTCGTAACTCCGAGGTCTTTTGTTCAGATGTCGGCATCGACCAGCCGCAGTGAGAAGGTATGTCCGAATAACTCAACAGGCAGTAACAGCATTTCTGTCTTATCAGAGTTCAGCAAGGAGGAGTTTCTTCTATTCTGTCCCAGTATAAATGGTGAGCAATGCGCTTAATGGCACCTGGTCTAGAAGCTTGAGGACAAGAAGGTTCGTAGAAAGTGCTGAGAGGTTCTATTTCTGTGTCATGTGCCAAGCATGTTCTGTTGATCAAGAAAGATCCTGGAGAGCACAGCTCTGCAGAACTGTCCGTAAAAAAGGATGGAGTGAGAGGGGCCTGCAGTTTGCTAGATCAAATGGATCCAGCAGAAGTGCACAGCAGTTAGTGTGTCACCTCATTCACAGACCCTAGCTGAGAGCTAACTGAGGTATCTCAGTAAATGACTTCCTGTATGTCCTCCGACTCCCTGAAAGCTACCACATGTTGTAAAGTTAAGAGATTTTACTCTCATTTGCCGTCATCCTGGTGTTACTCTTCTGTGATGGTCAGATCAGCTGCAGCTCAGCACTGCCCCGATTAGCATTACCCTGGGCTTGTATATTCAACATGCACCTCCCCTCCTTTAAACTTCAAATGCCTCTGCATACCGCATTAAAAGTCTTTTTCAATTTTTAATTACCTGCTTCATCCCAGATACAGATTACTACACTCCTTTACAAAGTTCTCTGAAGGTGGAAACATTGTTCCTTCCAGTCACTGGTAACGTATTCACAATTAGTCATATTTTTGTTCAGTTTTTCATTACTGTTGCTGCATGGGGGGCAGATTAAGACATAGACTATCCTAGGCTATATCTTAGGGCCCTGGCAAACATCAGAGCTCCTCCCTGCCTCAGAAAAAATGGAACGGTTAGTTAAATTGGTAACACATGAGCGTTCATGCGGATGTCAGCCTTGGGCCCCCAGATAAATTAATCTGACCAATATGGAAATTGTTTGTTTTGTTTGTTTTTTTTTGGCATTTGGATCATGTAACTTATCTGATTGCTTGGAAAAACAAAACCATGTATAGAGGCGCAGTTATACAAAGAAATAAAGAAACAAATTGACACTATGAAGAAGTCTGTGTTCGTTCTTGCGTATGTTGCAATCCTGCATTGTATGAGTCATGTTACAACTTCAGCACTTTTTGAAACGGAGCTCGTGATGGTATTTTCATGCAGTACTTTCACTTGGACAGCAGGTGGGGCCAGGTCACAGAAGTGATTTTCATGCAGAGCGCTCCTCCTCTTCTGAGGTGTTCTTCAGCATTTAACAGCTCTCCCATCTGCAGTCATTCTTTCCTACGGTTTCTTCACTTTCACAGCACATTTTGTCCCATTTCCTTTTTTGTCTCGCCTAGTGCTGCAACAGGTCAACCGTTCTGTTCTGCCTCCCTCATTGCTGCATTAAATATATCGTTCTTCTCGTAATGGACGAAGCTTGGTTTAAAAAAAAAAAAACTCCATAATAAATTCCATTGTGTTTTTTTTTTTGGTAGGAAGGGCATTTGTAAATGCACCACATTTATTTATCTTTGGAGAATTCCGCACTGTTGTGTTCTGGACATTAAGAGAGATTAACAGTTGTAGATCAGTGCATCAGTCGGGAGACCCTCAGCCGTCCAGCAGTGCCGTCCATACATCGCGTTTTATGAGCCACTGTGGGCAGTTCAGAGCCACCACCACTGCTGTGCTGCTCTCCTTAGACCGTGGAAGGAGACCCAAGGGAAATACCATGTCCACATAGCCAAACTCCAGACAAGCTGACAAACCCGTGATCGTAGCGCCGAGGGGGCATTACTGACCCCCCCTTTAAACAAATAAACCCTGCTTTATTTTCATGTGAATGATATGAATTGAACTTAAAACCTACTGCTGCCAGGTACTGCTGGAGTCTTTGGAGAGGAACTGCCTTTGTTAAAATCTTCCTGTAAAAGCAAGCCTTTGTTTTGTGTAACACCCATTCAGCAAATTAAATTTGAATAACGTTCCAAACAGCGTATATAACACTTACTGCCGGCCCATAGCCAGAAATAAATGTCATGGGGGGGTTCAAACCCCTAATTTTAATACCTGGCTACGATCCTGCTTCCTGCAATAAGCTGGGTGAGGAGTGGGAAGCAGTGGCTAGTTACTTTAGCATGCTCTGATTTAACATCGTGTTCGCACCCTAAAAAAGAGCCAGAAACTCAGTTGAAGCAAAGGAGATTAGAACCACCTCTGTCTGCAAGTTACAAAAGATAAAATCTAATTAAAATCCGCAAACCACTGCTCAAATTATTGCTACCATCCCAGACAGCCCAGCTATACAGTACGTGGGAATATTTGCACATTCCTCATGTTCAGGTTCAGAAACATTCCAGACAGACCATCAGAGCCTGACGAAAAGAAGCTTCCTCATGAAAAGATGGTACCATCACGATCCTTTGCAGTGCGGATGGTGTCCTTTGGGAGATTCACTGTGTTCAGGCATCACGTTTCTTTACTGAGTGTTGGTTTCAGACCACGAAACCTTTTTTCCACATGGCCCCCAAATTCCCAGTGTCGTTTTGCATACCTTACACATCCCGCAGTGTGGGCTCCAGGGAGCCACGACTTCTCTGCATCCTTCCACAGAGAAAGCAGATTTGCCTAGAGGTTATATTGTTATAACATGAACAAACTGGTCATTCTTTGGCTAAAAGGTCTGCAGTTTCATCAAAATGACCACTGGAAGCATATTTAAAGCCTTTGAAAATGTTGGCCACGGCCATCTCCTGATCCACACCTTTCTGACAACTTTCCAAAAAATATTCCAAATATCTTCGTCTTGGGGCTATTGGGGCCGGATGGCTTTATTCTGGACTAATGACAGTAATTACTGTTAAACAGAAGACTGGTGGTAATTAGCGTCTTGCTACATCTGGAAGAAAATATGTCATAACTGTTATTGGGGTTCTACACTTAACCAGTTTATTATTCTGCATTATTTTTTCAAACCTGTTTGACGTGAATGTGTATTCATTATGAATAGAAATAGCCAGATGCAATAATTTGGTCAGTCTGTAAATTCAATAAAATTTTAAAAGGCACGAAGAATTTAAGCCGACTGCAAAAAGGTCTCAGCAATAATTTCAGTTAAGCAACAGGGAGTGTGATAAGAAGCTAAGATAAGTCTGCTTCTGACGGTCTGAAGCTGGTAATACGTGAGTAATGTCCCAACTCTAACAATATGTTTTACTTACAATAAATCCACAGTGACAGAATGGCCTTGTAATGAGATGTAACACAGTGTGTAGATCTTTGTGTGGGCGTGTGTTTACATGGGAGAGAAGGAGGCAACGCATTTGACCTCAGCTCAGCATAGTAGCGTAAGCACAACACATCTGGGTGCTTTAGTTGGATTACATAGAACTTTACTATACCTGACCTTTCTGTGGAAAAATAAAGGGAAATATGTGTGCAGAGTTGGACATTTTGCCCTGGGTCACTGTGCCTCGCCTTTATAAAAAAATAAACCATTCAGGATTGCTTTTATGAGGGGGATTTGGGAGGATTTTAAATTCACTCTCTGTTAACCCTTGCAGAAATGTCTGTGGACACTGTAACGCCGCACTAGAGGAGATCATACATTTGTAGTGTAGGACCACTGGAGCACTATAGACAGCCAAAGTACTTAAAAATGTACGTCTGGTAAAGTCGACCTTAAAACTGAGCCGTCTTGCGTGCCTCTCTCAGCAAGGCGAAATGTACGGTACTACAGAACAGAATAAATCACAGGCCGGCGATTTACTGTGTGGTCAAATGACAAAACTCCTGAAGGAGGGTAAAAGAAGAGTGGAGAGCGAATGCGGTCAGTCTGCAGAATGCATGTTTTTCTGGCTGGACCTAATCAGACCTCAGGAACAGGAAGTGTTCACAAAGACCTGCCATAACTCTCAACTTCCCCCTGAACCCATGACACAGTCCAGCAGCCACATTTGGGTGTTGCAGAACCGAGAGAGGCAGTCTGGAGAGAGAGGTACCAGGAATCTGAACTACCTTTGCCCCCTACAGACCGGGCCCAGTGCTCTGCCTTGCACAATCATCCAATCTCCTGTCCCAAATCCCTCATCAAGGGTTAACTGTGTGACTCAGACTGGCATCCACTCAAAAACCCACAGGACTCACTGCATTTCCAGTGAAAAACGCTGCTTGTGTAAACTGTAGCCTACGTGACATATTGAAAATGTTTAATAAGATACTAGACATGCACATAAAACTGCACATACTTTAAAAACTATCATGGAAATTATCCAAAATTATCACGACTTCGAAGGGAAGGCATGACACATTTCATATCCGTTGTAATGGGTGACCCCAGTTTAAAAGGCATGGGTCACCACGCTGGTTTCTTCCGGATGTTTTTGGAGCTCATTTGAGGAAAACTAGTCTGCACAAAAGGAACCAGTGTTCTTCGCTGCCAAGCTGGGTGCGTGCCGGAGGAATGGCGACGGCCAGGGTACAGATAACACCATTATCTCTTTGTTATCTTACAGAAAACAAATGCAGATGTAAATATGCCCCCTGTACTTGCAGTTTGCGTATGAAACATCTGGATTCCTGTGTAGGCCTGCCTGGCAGTTTAATAAAATTCAGTCTGGAAAGTCTCATGTTTATTTGTGTGGCTCTTAATTGTTTCAGTGTAATATATATCAGTCTTAATCAGGAATTATCTAAAGATACTGATCTTTCCTGAGGATTGACCTCATGTCATGCTTGTAGATACATTGATCAAGAAGGTGGTTCACCCAAGGTTAGGCTCAGCCATTGCACAAATGTAGGAATCTTGACTGAATAATTTCTGGTAGCGGGGGCTGCATTCACGCTCCCCCCGATGTTTGGGGCCAGTGTGTGACTCAGTGGGTTAAGCCTCTGAGGCTATAACCAGAAGGTCACCAGTTCAAGTCCAGGGTTCCGCAAAGCTGTGACGTCTGTGGACCCTTGAGCGGGGCCCTTAACCTCTAGCTCCATGGACGCTGCTGAAGGTGGCTGCCCTTCGCTGTCAAGCTCCCTGTCACCTACATGTGTGTCTGAGTGTCATAAAGCAAGATGGGGTCGGCAAAAAGAGAATTTTAATAAAGTGTCATAATTATTTTTGGCGTTTCTGTACCGTTGTACATCAACTTTGTCGACTATGAGAAGGCGTTTGACAGTGTGGGTCGAGGGACCCTGTGGAAGCTCCTCCAGCACCACGGCATCCCAGCCAAGGTGGTCAACCTCATCAAGAGCTCATACGAGGGAATAACCTGCAGAGTGATCCACGGAGGGCAGCTCACCAACAGCTTCCAAGTGAAGATGGGAGTCCGACAGGGATGCTTGTTATCCCCGTTCCTCTTCCTCATCGCTATTGACTGGATTATGAAGACATCCACAAGTGAACGCAGTATTGAGGGGATCTTTATAGTATAATAAGGTGAAATACCTTTCTTTTCTTTTTAAGTTGGTTGGCATGCGGTATGCAAACCATGGCAGGTTGTCAGGACAGTGTCCTGGGGTGAGGAGTATGGGGTGGGCCTCATAGAGCGAGGTCTGGAAGCTTACATCCCCCAGTGGGGACTAGCGGGACTCAACAGCAAGGCTGCCCAGCATGAATGCAATGTTCCTACAGATCTGGCAGAGACAGAAACCCAAATATTATGCTGCCGGTCCTGTCTCTGCTTTTCCCCACATACATATTGTACCTTAATATAAAAACTGAAAACACAAGACAATACAAGGAAGTAAATGCAATCTACCGTGGTAGAGCAGGTCATCGCACATCTAGCAGAAAATTCGGTGACGGCTGTTTTACAGCCTGGCCGTGCGCAAGTCGCTGCACATGGGTCTGATCATTCAGCCAGCCTTTCTTTGTCTTCCAACCGCCATAACATCTTTCTCTGTACATCCGATGGTAGGTAGATCGGCATTCACGACACCCGGGATCTATAGCTTTTTGAGTCCCAAGATCATTTACGCAAATGCTCAAATACCGTCATAGTGTGTGGAAGCCAGAGGCAGATTGGAATAGCCAGATAAAGCCAATTAAACCCAATTAAACTCTGAGGATGCACTCTCTG